CAAGAATGCCCTAGCATTTACTAGATATATGTTAGTCTAGTATATAAATAAGACGCTCACAACGTGACGGGACAACAGTGTACGTAGTGAGTAATTGATCTGCAGTCAGAGAGTATTGTTGAAGTTAACGTTCGTTGTTATAGCGTTTGTTTTAGCGCGATTGTTGAAATTAAGTGTATCGGTAAAGCTATATTCGGAAATAATAAAACAGTTTTATTAAGTAAGGACTTGCGTCGCTAAAGTTTCGTCGGAACGAAGTTACGGAAAATCATTTAACGACTGGAGACGTAACAATACTATAAAAAAATCCTGTTATGTACTAAGGTAGTTTAGCTTTTCTGGTGGCGATACTTTGTTTTCGAATTTTTGCGCATTCTTTCTCAGTTTAAAAGCGTATAATTCATAGAGCATTCTATTCACGCTACAATGTTCTTCTCCGTATTTAGAAAAATTATGCAACCGGCTGTGGGCATTTGAACGAGTTCCCAATGCCTTCATTCGTGGTTTGGACAGCGCCATCTTCTACACGTCGAATAAAAACGCCTGTTTGGCTGCATGTTTGAATGAAGAACGGTTTGTTTGTCGTTCGGTAGAATTTAATTACATGAATTCGGAATGCCATCTCAGTGAATATGATCGACGTTCACCAACTCCATTAGTGAATCTGTTGGAGAGACCGGGAGTTGATTATTTTGAAAACAACTGTTTACGTGGTAAATATATTTCTTTATTTCTGGGTAAATAGACACAGGTTTTTACCTGGTTAATCAAATACTAGCAACGGTTAGTGACACTTTGTTAAAGCCTCAAGTCTTTTAAAATACACCACTATTAATCTTTTCAAAATACAAACATGCTTCAAAACCAAAGTTTAAAAAAAAATACGTAACGTTTTGTCCAAAAGGTCTTCTTTAGGACCAGAGGGAGGAGTTAATTTTGATATTTATCTTTTACTTTTATAATGAAAAAATTTAATCTGTTCAAGCTTTTATTTGGTCATTTTGACTTACGATTAATATAAATGTGCACAATACACCATAAAATATTTTATCTGGTCACTAGAAATTAAATTTAAGATAAAAATAAATTTTGAAATAGTCTAAGCCTTAAATTCACAATTTTTTTCCTCTTTTGCTTTGTTGTCTTCCATTTCACCATTTTTTTCAACTACATTCAGAGTTTTTATGTAGAAATCCTAAAACGTTTCGGAAAATTTTTTTGTTCTCTTTTAATTACTGTTCAAAGCGAAACATTTGAATCAATATTTTATTAACGTGATGTTTTATTTATTGCTTTAATGAAAGTTTATATATATATATTTATTTATAATTTTCATTTTAATGTTTGTAGTTTCAATTGTTCATAGTATTATTTTCTTACTTCCGAAGAAATGAAAAATGACAAATACTTCTGGAATACAGTCAAGATGTAAGTAAAATAAATTCAGCAGAAAACAATAAAATACGATAAGAAAGAGGAAAAATATTTGAATTTTCTCGTTACACAGCGGAAGAGATATGCAACACTGAAGGAAGAAGTTACGACTTCGTAAATGCTGAATTTCCCCAGTCTTCACTGGCTCATTTTGTTGGTCTGTATTACTACAAGGACAAAGAACTTCTGGTAAAAGACACAATATAGTTCTTGCTATTTAAACTTTCTGGCAGTTATTGTGTGAGGTACTTCAATAAATGTAATTTATGTGCACTAGATGGCGCTACATATGGTTAATTAATTTTCTTATTTTAAAATTAGTAAGGGGATGAGGACAGTCAAATATTTGCTAGACGGCAGTAACCTGCTTGTCTTCACGATAATGAAGTGGGATTTTGAAGTTAGATTAAACTGAGCAAATAGATCGTGGGATCAATCAAGTAGCAACGTAATATCTGTCTATCTGTTGTCTACAACAAATTGGGGATAGGGATAAAATTAAAATACACCAAGGAAAGTCTATTAAATTACTGTTTTCATAAGTTGACAGTTTTTCAAGATTAAGTTGGCTCATGGCTATTAAATTGACTTTGTACAGTATTGATGCTCATTTATTTAAAAATAGTGTACAGACAGCAAAGTTTATGTATTATTACAAATACAATTGAAACATAATAAACTAATGTGAACTATCATTAAGTTTCGATCAAAGTGACCTACCTACATAAATCAGAGCTACACATTCATCCAGTAATTAATATAGTTAATTTAATATACCGTTATAACTTGATGTATGCATATAACAGAAAACTTATAATGATGAATTATTTATTTGTGGTTTGGGTAGTTAGTATCTAAACAACGTAAAGTGTAGTTAATCGCCCAACTTATCATGCTAAATGAAGACAAAACAATGGTGGACACTGTTGCTACGCTTCTTGAAAATAATCTATCAAACTTGTTTTATTAAAAGTTACAAAATCAACTAGTGTGGAAAAGAAATCATTTTATCGAACCAATTATTAGTATTTGATTTAATAAACTGCCCTTAGGTATAAACAGAATCTGAAATGCTCTTTAATTTAAAATTCACGATTTTCTAAGTTTAAGAACAATACGTGAGAAACACATCTGTGATCTTATGTATAATATGATGAATTATTTATTTGTGGTTTGGGTAGTTAGTATGTAAGCAACGTAAAGTGTAGTTAATCGTTATAAGTTTTTAATTTGAAATTCACGATTTTCTAAGTTTAAGAACAATACGTGAGAAACACATCTGTGATCTTATGTATAATATTTATACTGCATATAATGTATGTAAAAAGTGCTCTCTATATATGTCTCTAACTGACTTTTCTAACCAATCTTTCAAGGTAAACGAAGAAGAGGAATGTTTACAGATGTGTACTTTGGAGAAAGAGTTCATCTGTCGGTCAATACTGTACTCACCGAACACTCATCACGAGCATTCCAGCTGTGCATTATACCATATAGATCACGTGATGTTTCCAGAAGGAAGAGAAACCTATTCCTTTCGCAGCCCTGTACCCTTGATGGACATCGGTGTTCGTTCTGGGGTCTATCTAGAAGCTGTCTGTAACAGTAGGTTACATTTCGAATCTATTTCAAGTAAACCACTGTTGTCACTGGTGACGTGAAACTGATGACAACTAGTTAAATATTTGTCAGAAATGGACAAAAACTATCATTGATTCTTAATTGTCATACACTTTTGAATTTTTTTTAATTCACATGAGATTGGGTGCTTAATATTGTTTTCGCTTAAATAGCCAGCAAACCATAACAAAACTACGTTTTTCTTTTGGCGTTATAATAATCCCTTTATAATTTAAATGCACAACTTATTTTGAGTGAACTAGGGAGTTTAAGAGTAAGTTGTAAGTGTCTGTAAACGCAAGTCTGAAGTTGGATTTTGTGTTCCTGGCCCTTTTAGAGATCTCGGAGGCACCATGCTTAAAATTGTGTTCGTATCCCTATTCACAAGCTAGCAAGACCAAATGTGCAGCACATGCTGAGGTATCGCAAGCGGGTGTTCTAACAGAGTTTGTTTTCAGTCATGGATCCTCACAGGGTAACTATAGGAGCAATTGGAGATAATGGAGATGCTTGATCGATACATTGGGGCCTTTATGAACCATAAGAGAGCCTTTGAACAACGCAGCGGAGTGCGGGTATTTAATGTTAGTCCTACTAAACTAAGAAACCCGCGGATATACATTCCTACCTCTTACACAACGATAAACTTCGAAAAATATGTATTCCTTTATGTTGTTCATTCTTTCATGGCTTGCGATGTTTTATTGCAAGTCTTTAAAATCATTAGAAAAGAGTTATTTTTTACGATTAAAATTTAACTATACAGTTTATAAAACAATGTTCTGATAAATAGAGAGATTTGTTAGTTACTTTCTTGATGTTTTTAAATCTCAAATCATCAGTTTATAAAAGTATTTTAAAAGCAAACCCTAAATGAGAACAGTACAAAACAGACAATATTAACATGGAACTATGATAAAATAAAAGACAGATAAAATCTTGTAAAAGTACAAATTTCTTGACGTCCATTGTATTCATTTTTATGTATATAGATGGCAGTGTTATGCAAGAAGTTAAGGAAAACAGAAATCCTTTCAAAGTACCACCTCAGCGTAAGATTGAATCACAGAAGACGTCAAATTTACCTTCCGATAGTGGAGATCCTTCTTGTGATAATTATGGATTCTGCTTTGACGGTAAATACGTACATAAATATATTTAATATAAAACTCTGTTTTTTTCGGTTTTTAATTATGATTTTAAATTAATAACTTACACGCTGACAATCTTTGAAGGTAGTTTGATTTTTTTAAAAAGCTTTACAGAGTTTTTATTGCTAATTTGACGCATTTTTAGGCGTGAACTTTTATGTGACGTTGTTAGCATATGTTTTTTTTTTGTTTAACCCTCGTTGATGACTATAAACATTGGCCATATGGAACCCAATATTTTGTATATTAAAAAACAAACAAGTGCGTTTTATAATTATTCTTTTGCAATGCATTCAGCAGTATTGATTTTTTACTCCTGGATGGCTAATTCATAGGCCTTTCGGTTTCTTATAATGCAGCAGACTACCTTAATCGAATTTCATTTCTACAGAGGAAAAGGCTTAAGGCAGTAACAATATTCAGTACTTTTTTTATCGTGCCATTAGATAAGGAAACTAGACATAACTTATAACCCAATAAAAATAAACAACAGGAGATCATTACAAGTAGAAATCACATAAATAAACCAAAGACTCTGTCTTGAGCAATGATAATAATTTATTATCAAAAACTAGTCAAAACTCAATAACTTTCTTTTGGAAATATTTGTTTATTATTTTTGTACTTTCTAACCGTATAATTGAATGCATGTTCATCAGTTACCAACACTCATGACAGAAACAGAACAAAATGGCTACTTACTCATCATTAGTGCCGCATGTGGCCTATTGGTTAGCGTGTTAAGCTGGAGGCGGAAGATCTAAAGTTCGAACCCACGATAACTCACTAAACATCGTCCGAACTGTCAGTGTTATAAAACTGATATTATAAAATAGTATTCGGTTAGCAGTGGCCGTTTAGGTGGTGGATACTACTGACTTGTTACCCTCCCGTCAGTCAACAACTGAACGTTATTTGACCTAACCGTTTAGTTCGTGCGGTGTATACGATACCGTTGAAGTTGAAAACTTTAAACAACCTTCATTAAATTCCTAGTCAGACTCTTTTATTGTTGTCAAGCGCAAATATATAAATGGGCTATTTGTGCTGTGCCCACCACGGGTATCGAAACCCGGTGTTTAGCGTTATAAGCGTTCAGACTTACCGTTGAACCACTGGGGACATTGAAGATCCTAAGCTTGCTTTCTGAGATCATTAACTGTTCTTATGAAGATGGAGAACAAGGCTATACTATAGTGTTTGTACTTTATTTTACTATGTGGAAAACAAGGTTATACTTTAGTGTTTGTACTTTATTGTACTATGTGGAAAACAAGGTTATACTTTAGTGTTTGTACTTTATTCTATTATGTGGAAAACAAGGTTATACTTTAGTGTTTGTACATTATTCTATTAGGTGGAAAACAAGGTTATACTTTAGTGTTTGTACTTTATTGTACTATGTGGAAAACAAGGTTATACTTTAGTGTTTGTACTTTATTTTACTATGTGGAAAACAAGGTTATACTTTGGTGTTTGTACTTTATTTTACTATGTGGAAAACAAGGTTATACTTTAGTATTTGTACTTTATTCTATTATGTGGAAAACAAGGTTATACTTTAGTGTTTGTACTTTATTTTACTATGTGGAAAACAAGGTTATACTTTAGTGTTTGTACTTTATTGTACTATGTGGAAAACAAGGTTATACTTTAGTGTTTGTACTTTATTTTACTATGTGGAAAACAAGGTTATACTTTAGTGTTTGTACTTTATTTTACTATGTGGAAAACAAGGTTATACTTTAGTGTTTGTACTTTATTTTACTATGTGAAAAACAAAGTTATACTTATTTTATTTTATTCTACTATATTTAGACGTGGATCTATTCAGATATTGTTCTATTTTACTTTGTTTAGTATCAATTCAGTGCACTGATACCAAGATGGTTGTCTTTGCCCGAACGAACAAGCCTTTTCATGGACGAATCTACGCTTTAGGAAGAAGTGAGACCTGTCGATCGGATGTCCACAACAGCCAACAGTTTCAGCTGGACGTGTCTTTGAAGGGTCAAGACTGTAACACTGAATCAGCAGTAAGTCTCATGCAATATATACGTACTTTGTGTTACATGTCCCATAATTAGAAATAAACGAAACAACTATATACTACTAGCAAACTGTTTTGAACGTTTCCTCACCCCACCCCACATATATATCTATACGTATACACGTTTTTGTTTATTAATTGCCCCCCCCCCTTTCTTTCTCTCTTGCTCTCGATTTCCTTGGCAGTAAGTGTACGGACTTATAACACTCAAAATAGGGTTTCGATACCCGTGATGAGCACAGCACAGATAGATCATTGTGTAACTTTGTGTTTAACTAGGAACAAGTAAACAATCAAATGAGCTCTCTGTCTGGTCAGATGCTCAAAATTATAGAGGGCTATTCTTGAGTTTTCTTACTTCGTTTTAACCATGCGTTGTAAAAGGTGTCTCAAGTTGAAATTAACGAATAACATTTTGTTTCCTAGTGAGGAATAATAATGTCTAACTGTTTAAGTGTTTACTATTGCAAATAGCCTGATATCTGGCAAATGAAATCACGTTGTACACACCAAAATCTAATTACTTAGGGCTATATACATGTTCTACACATTCAACTCACAGAGACACGAATTCAACATCGCATCCTCATTATTTGTGAATTTCTTTTTTCTCAGCTAAACGTGAATTTGACTGGAGAAAAGATGACGAAAATGCATAATCTATTTCTTGATTCGCTGCTTCCCGCTGCAGCAGACTAGTTTCGCTGAATTCACAGTTCATCAATACTGCTTGGAAGAGCTAAGAAAATAAATAACGTAGGCTTAATATAGTTTATAAACCGTCTTATTGCTAACAGTCAGTAAATTGATATTGTTACGCCTCCAGTCGTTAATCAATTTTCCGTAAATTCGTTCCAGCGAAACTTTAGCGACACAAGTCCTTTCTTAAATAAAACTGGTTTATTCTTTCCGAATACAACTTTAACGATACACTTAATTTCAACAGTCGCTCTATAACAACGCTATATCTTATATATACAAGACTAACACATATCTAGTAAATGCTAGGGCATTCTTGAAGGAACAGGATATTTCTAGAAACAGGTGGCGTGATACTAGTCACGTGACCTCGCTGACGCAACAATATCAAAGGTTCTCTTACAGCTAACACTCAGTACATCAGTTAATAAGAAAGGTTGGTAAATTGCTATCACTCAGTAAATCAGTATATAATAAAGGTTCCACTCCCCATTAACATTCAGTAAGTCAAGTGATCAATGTTCTATAGTGCTAACAGAAAGCTAATTCCTAACAAGTTTTGTTTTTAAAGCACAGTGTATGAGGCTGTAGCAAGTTAATAATGTAGTTACATTATTCCGGGGGAAAGAGCTGAGAAATCCTTAATAAATCAACTCAAAATTGATGTATACGTTCAATAACATTATGAAAAACATTTATTCCTTCGTGTACACTTTGACAAAAAAAGAGAACAGTCCATTACACCAATGTACATTAGGACTAGTAAGTAATCATTCATCGTCCCACGTGTTTTTAATAATTAAAAATTCACTTGAAAAAAAACAACAAGAACAATTATATCTTACTTTACTTTTCAAACTTCACTATCAAATATTTAATTAGATTCAATCATTATTAATTCCACAAATTGAAACCAGAACGCTTAATTTATAGTTCATTTAAAAACTACGTATCTATTTAACGTTTCGCTTACTTCGATGTTAATAGTTCAGAATATAAGCGTTTTGTCATTTTGTCCTATAACGTCAAAGATTGTTTTCCTGATCATAAGAGTAACCTATAAAACACTCCACATTTAAAAAAACAATCACGTCAGAAAGATAAATTGAAATGAAAACTTGTTTTTGTTTTGTTTTCAGGTTTACTTTTATATTGTTTTTTAAAAGAATTATATTGAAACTGTTTTATTTTTATTCTGTAGAACGGAGTATTTACTAACACGATTGTACTCCAACATCACACTGTTGTGATGACCAAGACGGACAAAGTCTACAAGGTTCGTTGCTCCTATGAAACAAAGTCCAAAAATGTGTCATTTGGAATGATGCCTGTCCAGTGAGTAGCAGTCATAAATTTTACGTATCTTTAAATCGGTTAGAATGATTCAACCGTTCCATTTTCTCTGATAGTCGTGACGTTTTGACATACACTTAAGAATAGAATCACAGGAGAAAGAAAACATTTGCCAAATATTCGCCACGAGATTAAATGTTTTTTGGCGGTTAAGGTGCCTGAATCGCAATCTGAGGGTCGCGGGTTCGAATCCCCGTCACCGATTATGCTCGCCCTTTCAGTTGTGGGAGCGGTTATAATGTTACGATTAATCCCACTATTCGTTGGTAAAAGAGTAGCCCAAGAGTTAGAGGTGGGTGGTGTTGACTAGCTTCCTTTCCTCTAGTCTTTCATTGGTAAAAATCAGGGACAGCTAGCGAAGATAGCCCTCTTGTAGCTTTGCGCGAAATTAAAAACAAACTAAATTAATGAAATGTTTTATTTAATTAAAAAAAACAATAGAAGACGTTTTAACTTTGAAAATCCATAAAAATAACTGCGGCAGGTTGTGGCAAATTGGCCTGCTCATTAAACGTTCAGCAGTGTTCATTAAAAAATCAAATATGGTGAGTTCTCTATATAATTCTGTTTAGGGATCAAAGAGGAACAGGATGTGACGTATCGCTCTGTTCACGCTGCTACCTAGCGTTAGAAATAATAACTAATGTATTGCGATATTAACCTGAAGATAAATTGTTGATTTAAATTATTGAATTTTTAACAGAAAATACACGGTGGTTAGGCTTTCAGAAAAGCATGTTCGACATCTCACAAATCATTGTTAAGAGAGTTGTAAAAACAACAAAGAATTGAACAAGATAAAACTTAGATACATACACATCTGAAACTCGCTGTTTGTGGAATTGCGACACACAGACTTACGTTGTGTAGCTTATACTTTAAGTGTAAATTGAGAGCTTAATCATGAAATAAAAAAAACATTATTTCAGTTCTCAAAAAGTGTTTTGAATTTCAATATAATCTGGACAGTCAGTATTATTAGTTCGAATTTGGGTGCATTAATGAAGAATAAAAATGAGTAAACCTACACAGAATAATAATGTGATCAAGCAGCGACTTCTGGTGTCTAGATTAGGATCAGAAAACCACATGTAAGGGTATGAATTGCAATATTTTCCCCTAATTGTACAAAATAAACTAATGAAATTTAATAACAAATAAAGTTTTTCTCAATATAATCCCCCCCCCCCTCTTCCTAGTGGCTCAGCGGTATGTCTCTGAGCTTATGACGCTAAAATTCGGGCTTCAATACCCCTGATGAGTGCAGCACCAACAGCCCATTTTGTAACTTTGTGCTTGACAACAACCAAGCCAAACTCAATATAATTATAACTGGAACTATACTTTTTTCCTCACCAGAGACCCAGATATGACCCATGTTACAGCTTCACCCATAGCTCCGTTACCTTCAATTCAAATCCTTCAACAAAGCGGCAAAGAAGCAACAACTGTACGGATTGGTGATAAACTGACATTCAGGATTGAAGTCCCTGACAACAGTGAGTAAACACGAAAAGTAATTTGTTTTCAGCAGCTATATCATATCGTTGGTATAAGGATACTTTCATAAGGATACTTTTTTTAATAAGCCCCCCAGTACACAGCGGTATATCTGCGGACTTACAACGCTAGAAACTGGGTTTCGATACCTACGGTGGGCTGAGCAAAGATAGCCCATTGTATAGCCTTGTGCTTCACTTCAAACAAACTTCTTAATAAAAAGCCCCCCCCCAGTGGCACAGCGGTATGTCTGCGGACTTACAACGCTAGAATCCAGGTTTCGATACCCGTGGTGGGCAGAGCACAGATAGCCCAATGTGTAGCTTTGTGCTTAATTACAAACAAACAAACCCAATAAAAACAAAACCCTTACGTAACTGTAATTAATAAATGAAAAAATAACATCTATCTAAAATACAATTTTAGGAGATAAAAAATTAACAAACTCTTTGATGAAAACAGAATAACTTGAAATAATCTTTTAAACACACGAATATATTATTTTGCTAATTAATTCAAATTAATTATTTCTTTTAATTTGGATGCGATTAAGTCTAATTTTTATAATGTGGTATGAGTGGCCAATAGGACAGTCATTTTTTTTTCAAGTTTGTGTGTGTGCGTGTATTTTTGCGTATATCACTTTTGAAAACACAGGCAGTAAAGAACGTACTTACTATTGTATTTGTGGATAAAGAATGTTTAAATTTTAGCTTCGTAGTATACTAATCTACTGGGTTTACTGATATAAAGCATTCAATAATAAACCTTTTTTTTCTTCTTATTATTATTATCGTTAAATCTCCCACCCACGTATATTGTGTCAGATTTAAATCAGCTCAAAACAAGACTCTAAATATATTATACCAGACAAGGTGGAACGCCACAAGATAGTTGTGGTTATAGAAATTTTAAGAATGGTTCATAAATGCTAATCTTTCGTTTAAAAGACTCCTACTAGAGAGCCCCCCAGTGGCACAGCGGTATGTCTGCGGACTTACAACGCTAGAAACCGGGTTTCGATACCCATGGTGGGCAGAGCACAGATAGCCCTTGTGTAGCTTTGTGCATAATTAAAAAAAAAAAAACCTACTAGAGAACATATTTCAGTTGGTGTATACAAAGTGAGGTAAAAGTTACATGCCCCAAATCTTGAGAAATCATATTTATTTTAAACTGTTATACAATGAAAATTAATCAATACAAATTAAAATAAATACGAAAGGGCGTGTTAATTATTGCCAGTAAAAAGGGGATTAACAGTTAATAGTTTAATACTGAATATAATATTTGGATCAAGTTACTTTCTGTCCACTGTGTGTACAGTACATGTGATTGTGTTTAAAAACAGGTCGCAAGGATTTTACTTAATATGAATAAATTGGTATAAGAAATGATATCTCTTTATATTGTGATATCGTATCGTGATATGTTTTGCTATCGAGATATAATTCATGTAGAGTTTCAGTTTGTGGATTTTTAAATCATTTTTTGAATCATATCCATTTTGCATTCATCAGAAGTTAAACAAACGGAAATATAATTAATATATTTTATAGGCTCTCTTTTGAAATAAAGTTAATATATTTTACAGGCTCTTTTTGGAAATATAATTAATATCTTTTATAGGCTCGCTTTGGAAATAAAATTAATATATTTTACAGGCTCTCTTTGGAAATATAATTAATATCTTTTATAGGCTCTCTTTGGAAATATAATTAATATCTTTTATAGGCTCTCTTTTGAAATAAAGTTAATATCTTTTACAGGCTCTCTTTGGAAATATAATTAATATCTTTTACAGGCTCTCTTTGGAAATAAAATTAATATCTTTTATAGGCTCTCTTTCAAAACAAACAAACAATCTTATGATGTTAGAAAAAAATCCGTTAGGTAGAGCTATTTTAATTTGACTTATTTTTCGGGGCTCTTAATAACAATTGTAGAGGTAAGAATCAAGTTGACAAACAAAACTAAAATAATTTATTTCAAACTTAGCTGTTCTATTTTCGTCTACATCTTTAAATGTTAACAAACGTTATTTTTTGGGACAATTTGATTAGCTCCTTATGGAATCTTTGCCAGAAGTTGTATGGCGATGGCTAAAGATGGAAAAAGCGTATTCAAGATGGTTGATGATGATGGGTGAGAGGTTTTTTTTTTTATGTGTCATCCAAACTACTTCTCCGTTCTTGTAATTTTTGGAAAGTTCTTTATAGTTTCAAAAACCCGTGTACTTTCTCAGTTAACAAGTGTAAAATGTTTGAACTATAGTGAGTGATAATTTATAAATATCCACTACTTAGAAATTCTATAAGATCATAGGAAATGTGATTTCACTATTTTAAGATTACTAGTTATAGTTTCTCAGTGTTTCGGTTTACATTCGTCCTTGTGACGCTAAGTTACAATGTGTGTAATATTATATTTAAATAAATTCATTTTATTTCAATCGCAGATGTCCAGTCGATAGTTCCATTTTTCCAGGATTTATCCAAGTCGGTCGGGGATTGGAGAGTTCTTACGAAGCTTTTCGCTTTACCGAATCTTACGGGGTTATTTTTCAGTGCAACGTGAAGTACTGTATCGGCAAATGTAATTCGGTAAGTGACTTTGGAGTAGTTTCCTGAGATTAGAAAAGAAGAAATTTCGCAACAGATCTGTAGTCTTAGGTTAAAATCGTTTATTCCTTTATGTCCTCTGAACATCGATATATCTTATTGCACTTTTACAAGAGATAAAAATGGTGAATTGTTTTACTCACCAGTGCGAGGCCCTAAGTTAAAGAGCCTGGCATAACCTGATGGCTTCGTGGGAGCATTATAATGGTCCATCCTTTTATTGGTTGATAAAGAGTATCCCAAGAATCGGCGGTGAGTGGTGTTGACTAACTGCCTTCCACTTAGTCTATCACTTCAAAATTGCCTCCCCCCCCCCCAGTGGCGCAGCGGTATATCTGCGAACTTACAACGCTAGAAACCGGGTCTAGATACCCGTGGTGGGCAGAGCACAGATAAACCATTGTGTAGCTTTGTGCTTAACTTCAAACAACCAAACTTCAAAATTAGGGGGGTCAGTATAGATATAGACAAATCTCTAGTAGCGTGGAATTCAAACAAAGAATACATTATTTATTCAGTCAATCTTGTTTCGGATTTAATCCAGATTTCTTGTGGTGAAGGAAGAGAAATATACCAATCATCGGGACGCCGAAAGAGGAATCTGGGATCAGGGAAGAGCTCAGAAGAAATGACTCTGAGCCATGAAATTTTTGTGCTGGATTACGGAGACAAAATAACAGCGTTTCCAGGTGATTCTTCGTATGTAAAAAATAGTGAGTGTTTTACTTTCTCATAAAGCTTCACAATTATCTACAATTTTACTTTCTCATAAAGCTTCACAATTATCTACAATTTTACTTTCTCATAAAGCTTCACAATTATCTACAATTTTACTTTCTCATAAAGCTTCACAATTATCTACAATTTTACTTTCTCATAAAGCTTCACAATTATCTACAATTTTACTTTCTCATAAAGCTTCACAATTATCTACAATTGCCTCAAGGAGTCTATTCTTAAACTTAGTACTTCCATAGCGAAAAAATGTGTACACTTTTTTCTTAACACTAGCATATTATTTAATATTAATAATTGTGAACCATACTTACAAAAAATACTTGTGTTATGCTTTTCAGTAATAAAAGACTGCAGTTTTGAAGTGTCATCCTATTTAATGACAGTGTTGATACACAATATTAAATACTAAAAACAAAAACGGGTATGCGCCACGTTCGAATATTAAAGATTTTAATAGGACCTGGGTCTTTATTCTTCAGGCATTGTCTTCAGATTCATATCAGCCTGAAGATGATTCCTGAAGAGAGTCAGGAGCAAACTCTTATTTAATCATTTAATTAGTATACCAACGTGGTGTATACCAGTCTTTTTAATAGTTAATACTTAATGTACAAACTTGGTTGAAATTATGAATATTGAGATGGCGTTGTTCGTATATAACTACAAGGTTATAAAAGAAAGAGTGTTGAGCTAAGGGTTAAGTAGGGACCCGGCATGGCCAGGTGGTTAGGGCGCTCGACTCGCAATCTGAGGGTTGCGGGTTCGAATCCCCGTCCCACCAAACATGCTCGCCCTTTATCTAATACTACTAGTTGAGGTGAAATTGGGGGACATATCATCTGTTGATGACGCCCCCATAAGAAAAAGAAAAAGGATTAAGTATTTCTTTCAGCATTGGGAATGCTTTCGCAACAATAAAGTTGGTCTTCAGCCCAAAACGCCCCTATATTTGTAAATGAAATCTGTTGCCTGACTGCTATCTAAGTTGTTGATAAAATGAATAGTTAAGATTGACATAGCTGGCTGCCAAACTGGAACTATTCGTACAATTACTTATCCCTTTCAACTTGATTTTTGACGTTGGGATCCGCCAGAGTTTTTCTACCAAAATTCATCAAAACTGGTTCAGCGAGCTTCCAACAACAACTTGCGACACCAGACAGGCAAACAACGCTATTTTATGTTCGTTATGTCAGAAAAACACGTATGTTCAAGAAGTCTTAATATAAAACAATATAGACCCTATAATCCGAGCGCTTTCGAAACGTGGACCTTTCTTCTTCAGGAGCAAACTAAGAAGAAAGATCCACCTTTCGAAAGCGTTCGGGTTTTATCATATTAACTAACATACATACGTATATTGATGCGAAATGAATTGTTTTCTGCGTTACTAATTGTCTCTATCTATTCATATAGCCTCTAACAACGTTCGAGAGTCAATACCTGTACGGGATTGTAACTCAAAAACACCTGTCATGGTTCTCAGTGTCATCAGCGCCACCTTACTAGTCACCTACTTGTGTACTGTTGCTTACTTTATTGCCCAGAAGCGTGCTCAGAAAGACTTACCATAAACCACAACTTTGTCATGTTTTGTTAAATTGTCCAATTCAGTTGACTAATATTACCCATGTTAGGGTATTGAAGAAAGAAAAAAGCATGTATAGAGCTGTTTTTCAGGGAAAGGGATTTAACGCCATCTATAAAAAATCTGTTTTCAGTTAGTATGACCATCTGAGTGTTTGATGAATGTGATGCACATGTCATTTTAACAATATTTAATAAAAACTGTAATAACTGCTAAGAGTAGCCAATATGTATTTCTAATTGAACTTTGAACCTTGTATATATTCTTTAAATTTTAGTTATCAATTTGCATTAAAGCATATATATATATATATATATATATATATATATATATATGAAATCAATAACAAAGTAATCTAACAACTGTTATTATTTCGAAATGACCGAATAATTCTTGTTTGTTTTCCAAGTCTCGATTAATATTTTGCTTTAGCAACCTTTTTTTTTTTAAATAAATAACGAAATTAAAGTACATACATCGTTCTTGTTTATCTTTCATGAAGAGTGGCATATTTTAGAATACTGTAGCTGATTAAATGGCGTCATTTTGCGGCAAGTGTTCATGTGTGCTGATCGAAAAAAGGAAAACACGGATACCTATTTGGTTAATTTATTGATATTTTGTTGACATTTGTTTAACAAATTTAGAAACGCCCCCAAAAAATTTTGAAAGAGATTTATTCATACATATATGTAGTCTGGACGTGGCCTAGTGGTTCGCTTGCCCAGACTGGGAATCTGAGGGTTCATTCTACGTGTTCCCTTGCTGCAATTTGGAGACATGAGTGAGCTGTAAGAGTGACAGTCAAATTCCACTATTTTGTGTAGCCCAATAGTTGTTGGCTTTCCTGTAGTCATCAGTTTAGAATGCCCCCTAGTGGCACAGCGATATGTATGCGGACTTACAACGCTATAAACCGGATTTCGATACCCGTGGTGGTCGGAGCACAGATAGCCCATTGTGTAGCTTTGTGCTTAACTTTAAACAAACAGTTTAAAATATTAGGGAGGCTCTGCGCAGCTAGGCCTTTTGTAGCTTTGCGCGAAATTTCTACAAAAAACAAACATAAATTTATGCAATATGGCGATTGAATTTTATGCAGGATCGTACTTTAATCACTAAGCGGTATTTTAAAAAATATGTAGGTACTGTTTTTGTAGTTGTTTCCATAATAAATGCATAAAATTATTTGGACTTGACCAAGACCACGGCTCCACTTTCTCTTCGAAGAAGGACGAATGAAAAAGAGATTAGACCAGGTTGATAGCACTTATAACTGTATTTGAACTCACGCAAAAACCTCAGACTAAAAATGATAAAAAGTTAATGTATATGAAAAAGTGAAACAAATATTTAAAATTTTCAAATTTAGGGATTCTCCATGTACATGCATTTCCTTAGTAGTTTTTCAGCTAATTTAACAATGATAGACTAGAGGGGATGCACCTAGTCAACACCACCTACCGCTAACTCTTGGGCTACTCTTTTACCGACAAATAGTGTGATTGATCGTCATATTATAACGTCCCCATAGCTAAAAGGGTGAGCATGTTCGGTGAAGAGGATTCGAATCCGCGAATCGAATGCCTTAACCATTAGGCTATGCTAGGCCTAATAGTTTTCAAACATCAATCATGTTCATTTATTCTTGTTTGTTTTCTTGCTATAAGCCAGAACACCGTAGACCTAACCGGATGGTGCTGGATTTTAGTGCCCTCTCTACATATTTCAGAGAATGGAATTGTTTATAGCTTTGTCCTCTTGCATTAAACAATTTTAATGATACTACGAAGTGCCCATTTTAGATGTTAGTTTGAAAATAAAAGAACTAAGCTAACGAGTAATAACGGAGGAGGTTTGAACTTGACTCTTATCTTACAAGATTCTTTATATGAAACTTGAAACAATATAACAATAATAATAACAATGTTTACTTTATATTTTATTTAAAACTTAGTATCCGCAATGTTTTGTTCTAACTTTTAAACTTAATTTCAAATTAAAAAAAAAATTTTTTTTACCTTGTGGCTTTCTGAAATGGGTG